ATATATATATATTCATTTAAGGATGAGATTGCTTTCTAGAATAAATAAATACATCCTTGCAAAGGTCACTGAAATATCCTGTTTCTTATTCAAGTTGCAAGTGATTCTTTATTGTAAATTTTCATTCCCTTTCAGATTTTTGTGCATCTAAATGATGTTTATTCTGTGATCGGGATCCCTCTTTTCAGGTAGATGGCATTATAACTCATTATTCTCCACTTCTCTATAAATATAGACTTTTCTAATAGAAAACATGCTTCTCCTAAAAATGGACTGGAATGACCTGTTCCTTATATTGTTGACTGAGGCCTTGCAATAAATTCATAGGAAATATTTAATTGCAATAATTAAAATGTTTTAAAATGGTAAGACTGGCATTCTATGTCATATAAAAGTACGAATAACTTGGAACATGATACTTGAAACATTTGTCCATTTACAGCTCCCTAAGGTACATGATGTTTTATTCACTGACATTTAAATATATAGATACTGGTAGAGGTGGGGAGATTTGTAAACATGTGAAAAAACCAGTGATGTACATAAAATAACATAGTAATGTAATAGCAGTTGATGTCAATGCTTACTATTTTCATTTAGTATTATTGCTATCCTAATTTTTAGCATATCACAATGAAATCCTTGTGGGCTTTAATGAGAAAATTATGGCCAAATTCATTTAACTGAAACTGAATAGAATTCAATTTACTAATCAATTTTAGTTTAACAATTTTGCGTTGAAGCCTCAGGTTAAAATCTTTCTGTGGAGATAGAAATTGTGAGGCCAGCTTCAGAGTGTCTTGGGACGCTTGTATGTGACCAGTGGCTATTCTTTACCTGTCTCATCCATTTGTTTATAAGGCTTTTTTCCCCCATGTGTATGTACAGTATCTATCTTGGTCAATTGCATTCTAACTATTTGGAATCTGAGGCAATTCCTACATATTTCCAAAGTTTCGGCTTTGACTAAAATTGCTTTGGTGCCAAAATAGAGGTAAAAGCAGCCTTGGGAGAATGTCAGAATTTGCAGAAATAATTTTAAAAAGAAGCCCCCCAATAAAGGACTGTCCAAAACACTCCAAATAAAGATTGAGTGTGCTCAGTATCCACGTAATGCTAAGTAACTCTTGTGTGTAGGAAATTAGAGACATAGAATGTGGTACTGTATGCTGGGAGAGGGTGTGAATGAAAGGAAACATTCTTGAAGAAAAGCATGTCATTACTGACACATCTGGTTAGAATTCTATGTGTGTATTGAATATTGTTATTTTAATTTAACTAATTATGTCTATTTGCAGACTTCCCTTGGCAAGTCGAGCGTACATTAAAACTGCTGGATTGCGATCTACCATTGCTTGGGCTATAACATCACTTGCTGAAATCAAGGTAATGAGCAAAGTAGCTGTTCTGATTACTAAGCAACTATTACAGGAAGTTTACATGAGCATTTGAAGCATTTAAAGTAGGTAAGAGCTGCATAGTTTGCAATAATATCTAAGGCTATAATCCTTATAGCAATTTTCTTAAATTCAATGGGACTTAATTTTGCAATAAATATGTAAAAAAAGCATGAGCTGTTCAAATCAGATTTAAGAGGCAAGTTGTCTTAAAGGAGCCATTGCCTCTTGGTTTTAATCTCCATGGTCTATACAGGGATAATAATTATTATAGAGTTGCTATAAAGATTTTTGAGATGTATGAAAAGGAAGATAAATGTTCAGATGTACTATATAGATGGAGAGAAGTATTAACTGTGAAATATGTTGTCAGATTCCTAATTTTATAAAATAGTAACTTTTGCTTGCTTTATTTATAGTATATTTCAACTCTTTCAAACCAAGGAACAATTACCTGTGACTTAAAGATGGTGTTAAGATGGTTTCTCCCTCTCTTTTTAGGCTGGGGCATTTGTACTGGATCCCATGTGTGGGCTTGGTACAATACTTCTGGAAGCTGCAACTGAATGGCCTGTAAGTTCTGTTCTATTAAGAAATATTTTGGCACATTGCATTGCAAATCCTAGTGGCCTTGTATCTGTTCAAAATTGTTCTCACAATTAAAATCAATCTCCTAAAAGGTTCGTAGAAATTTTGTGGGATTTAGCTTAACATTCACTCAGGTACAAAATACTAACCCCAGTAGTTTGTATTTGTATAACTAATTGTGTTATAGAAAAACAGGTATTATATCAGCTGTTGCTCTGTGTTCATAAATCTCCTAAAGAGATTCCAGATTAGATTAATCAGTTTACCAGTTACCAGCAGACAAATTTAGAGTTTTTGAAGTAGAATATCAAACTTACTTGGAACTTACATCTCCTGAGGTCTTAGATATACAATATTTATCTTTAGTCTTTAATGCAAAGAGCATCTTTTTCTGTTTTTTGTTCAAACACAAGCTTATTACAAGTTAAAACAGGCTGAAATGACATCAAAAGATTATGGTGATAAGTTAACAGATTTCTGCATGCAGGTTATAAAAATTGCTTACTGGATATATCTGAGACATAAGAAAGAATACATTTTTCTTTCAGGATAATTGAAATAGTTTTTAAGTTCCCTTTTATATTTTTACTAAATATTTAAAAATTCACAGCTAGACATGGATAGGTAACTTGAGTTAACATTATTTTTATCAGTATATAATCATTTTGAGCTACATTAATGTAGGTAGAATCATTCTCCCAGATTTTGAGATCTTTCTTAGAAACATAATGAATTAATGACTTTCACACCGTCCAATTTATGGTCCTTCCTATCTCTGGTTTAATGGATATTATACCATCAAATGACAAGCAAACAAATATAAGAAGCTTTCTGTCAAGTTTGTTGTCACTCATTTGCTAAAAGCCTTTCTTTCATGCAGCCTGTGTGACCAAATTCTGTCTCCTTGGAGGTTATGTATATTTGATTCATAGTATTTTCTTCCAACTCACTTTTTCTATCACTAACTGGCTATTTTAATAATATATAAAATTTGTCCCTAATGTAAATGTTTGTTTCCCTCTACAGGATGTGTATTATTTCGGGTCTGATATAAGTGATTCACAGTTACAAGGAGCTTACACAAATATTAGAGATGCAAGCCTGATAGATAAAATAGAGTTATTTAAATCTTCTGTGACAGGTAAATATTAGCAAGAGTAATATTGTGTAAATCAAAAAACATTTGATATATTTATTGCTTTGCTTTTTATTAGCTTGCAAATGTTTTCTTTATAGAACTAAACTTTAAGTAACAAACTCTCTTTTTCCCAGAATTGTTCTATGCAGTTTACACATTTGATTTAATATGTGTGTCTTTGGAATTTAAGTTGGAGACTGATACTAATGTTCTTTCAGATAATTAAAGAGGGTCTGAAATAGATAAATGCTGATCAAGATATGAGCACATCCTATTTTTGCCTTTGATAAACAAGTTTTTATGTTAACATCTCTTTGACTAGGGGCAACACTGGAATAGTATATAGTGCATAGGAAGTGAAGTGTTGCCCAAATTCACTTTATGAATTGTTGTCTGTCTCCATTTTGCCTAGCAGTTATTAACGCTAATTGTGAAGATATTAATTTGAAAAGAAGATAGTTTGGTTCCAGGAATGTTTCTTGTTATTCTGTTCTTGGAATTCCTAACAGTGCTGATTGTTCTGCCCATGGGATACTTCCAGCAGCAAAATGGGGAAATATATTTGTAGATTCCCACTGTAGCCCTGTAGAAAGTTGGGCACCCTATGAAACTATATGCAAGGAGGAATTAGCAAAAACTGAGTTCCGTGCAGGATACTATCTTTGTCACATCTAAAAGTGGGAGTTGCCCTTCTATTAATAGAAGGCCAATTAGAATCCAGGACAATATTCCTAATGTAAAATCCCTTCTCAGTAAAACTCCATGTGTGGGCCAGCAAACTTAACTTTGGGGCTTTTGAAGGACCCATTGAAAGGAAATAGAATTGTGTAAATTTTCCATATGGGTTTTTTTTTACATTAAAAATATTAATGTTACCCAGATTAGATAGAGATTTTTAGGGGATAATATAATTTTAATAATTATCAATTTGTTTTTTTGGATATGGATTTTCCTGAACTTGGTCTCAGTCTGTACATTTGAAAAAATATTATATGAACATATTTTATTTATACAGATCCTGCACAGTGAATACAGTAAGCCAGATCATGAGCTAAAGGTTAAGTTCTCTGTTACAGCCTACCTGGCCCTTGATCAAACCCTGCTAATGTGGTCCTGCAATGAAGCAGCAATATCGCATTTGGGATGGGCTGCAATACATGGCCAAATTGGGCCTCATGTGGGCCAAGGATTTGTGTTTTGCTATTATTATTATTATTACTGTATTTTACTTAAAGCATATCTATACCTCCCTTCACCAGCCTTGTTTCTTCCAGCATAATATCTTTTGTCTGGATTTCTTATTCTACATTCCTACCTTATATTTGCAATTCTCCTGATAGTTGACAGTACATACTTTGTGATATCTTGCAGTGGGCTGTTTCTTCCTGATTGGAATATTCTAGTTCCTTTTGAATGCAGGGGAAAGATTAAGAATTTCATTCCCAAGGGGATCTGTTAAGTTACAATTCTGTCTTAATTCAAGTCCTTTTAAATGTGCTTTCACTCTGTAGGATTACCTTTCCCCTCAGAAAGCATTGATACCATTTTGACAGACATTCCATTTGGGAAAAAGTTCAAAATAACAGAAGACATGAAGTTCCTTCCCAGAGTTTTTCAAGAACTTGAAAGGTACATGAGTCAAATTACCTGGAATTCAAGAATTAATATTAGAGGGGGATCTGGTTAATGATATGTAGGCAAATACAAATCATATGGTATGCTGAAGACCAGATAAAAACAATTTTATTTTATTGTAATTATATTACCTATCTCCTAATAAAAATAATAGTTCCAAATAGGGATGGAAAAATATGTTGCTAACAAACTCAGAAGGGCTGGGTCTGATCAAATAGTATACAGTATTCCGGTGATGCTGGCAGTGAATGAAAGGTCATAGGATACATACTGAGAAATACATACTAGAGCAAAAGATGTATTCCTGACAAAGCTAATTTGGTTGAGATGGGGAAGAGATGTTATAAAAATAAGCTTGTTACTTTCCCCAGGAGCTTTGACTATGGCCTTGAGCTCCCTGAGAACAGGACACTCTCATGATTATACATTCCTGAAAGTATTGCTATGTTTAGAACAGCTTCCAGATTACTTTCATTGTAAACTGTAGCTGGGATTGCAGTTGAATTTCTGCACTATTGAAAATATTGTATTTTATCTAAATTAATATCCTAATTTATTCCCTTCACACAAGTTCATATAGCTGTTATCAATACGGGACTATGAATGTTAGCAACATATTCACTGTAAACTTCTATGCCATTTTATTGTTTTCAAAATCAAAATCTATTATTAAAGCACTTTGGATAGAATTTATAAGAGAAGAATGACACAAAGTAATACTGTAATGTACATGTTTGTATTATACTTTTATAAAAATAATTAAAAAATGTTTTTTTTACCCTACTCTTCTAATTAATAATTAAAAAA